CCCCTTCTCTTAATAGGTGCATTTAATCTGTTTACATTCAGTGTAATTATCATAGGTATGGATAAATGCTGCCATTATGGTTTTTGCTTTTTTTTGTGGTGTTGCTGCTTTCTTTGTTCTGTGTGTCTTCCTTTGTTGAGTTCATGCTTTTTGTGTTCTTTCTTATGTGTTTCCTCATGGTTTTAATGTTTCCATGTTCTTCTGGATTTTCATTTTCTTGATATGTTGTGAAGTGTTAATTTTCTTTGAGGTTGCCGTATAGTCCATTAACTTTTCTCTCCATTTAGTGCAGTCTATTTTATCCTGTAATCGACCTGACCTTCTCACCATCTGGACCTATGTTCCTACGTGTTTACCTTCTTTTACATTGTAGTTGTTTAGATCATAGACTGATCTACCAAATTCTCTGAGTTTGTTCTTATAGTTTTGTTCTGTTCGCAACTCTTCCTTCTTTCAATTTAATTCTGGGAGGTGCTGCCACGTATGTCAATCTCTGGTTGTTGTCTGTTCTTGTTGGTTCTCAGGCCAAAGAACTCCCTTTAGGGTGTTTTGTAGTGCAGGAATGGCTTTGGAAAAATCTCTTGGTTTCTGCTGAGAGATCCGAGCTTAATCTGACTTGCTTGCTTTTGTATGTAACATTTCTGTTTTCCCTAGCTGCTTTCAGAGTGTCTCCTTATCTTTGATTTTGGAGAGCTTGATTATGATATGCTTTTCTTTTGGGGATCTATCCTTCCTGGGGTTCATCGAGCTTCTTGAATGTTTATCTTTTCATTTTTCAGGATATTAGAGAAAATTTCTTCCAGCAGTTCTTCAACTATTTCTTCTGTGGACTTGTGTGATTCTTCTTGTTCTGGAATGCCGATAATTTTAAATTATTCCTCTTCATGTTGTTCAACATGAATCTTAGACCTTCTTCAGATTTTTTTTTATCCTTTTTCCTGTTTGCTCTTCTGTCTTAGTGGTACTGAGAGATTTGCCTTCCAGCTCACTGGTTCTGCCTTCCATCTCTTCTATTCTACTCCTTTGCCCTTTCAGAGTATTGTCAATTTCTGATATTCTATTATTGATCATTTGGATCTCTTTCTGTAGGTTTTGAATTGTTTCCAATGCTGTATGTTTCTTATTTGGTTATTCCTGTAGCACTTTCCTGACTTCTTCCTTATTTTTATCAACTCCATTGTAAAGTGTTTTGAAACATTTTACAATCAATTTTTGGATTCCTTCTCAGGCATTTTCAAGGCCTGCCCTCCTTCCAGAATGTAGTTCAGATCTACCTCTAGGTCATTTAGCTCAGACATTTTTTCTTGTTTCTGGACATGTGCTGATATGGTCATCTGCTTTTGCCTCTTGGACATGTTCAGTGTTTATTTGTGGCCTTTATACTTAATAGAGTATGTGTTTTGGTATTTTTTATGCTTTCTGATTGCTTCCAGGTTGATGTGAGCAGTATGTGGGCTTCCCTTTTCACTCTTCTTATTACTTAACTCAGAGTAACTTTCACAGGTGTTTTCTGCCTCGCTGGTATATGGCAGTTGCTATTGGTTCTTGCCTGGACTTTGGTGTATCATAGAGTGTGGTTGTAGCTGTATATGACTATATGTGTATAGTCATATACAGCAGCAGTTGCTGTCTCTTCTTGGGTAATAATATAGGGAGAGAAAGATTCATCCAAAGGTAGAAGGGGAGCATACAACAGGAAAACACCACCAGCAAAAAGAAAAAAAAAAAAAAAAA